TCTTAGTACGTGCTCACTGTCACAGTTAGCAGGCAATGAAGGCTAATGCACATGCTCACATGTGCACGTGTTCACACCTGCTCTCGTGTGTGTGCGCACATGCACACATGAATATCATGAGGCCCATAAAGTAAGGTACCTTAGAAAAAACGTTTCCTCTTGCAAAATAGAAGAATAGAAAAATAAGACCAATTCATAAATATAAAGCAAAACTAACAATTCTCATTTTCTAATTTTAAAAAATTGGAATGTTCCTACTAAAATAAAGAGTTTAGGATGAATTTACATGAACTTAGCATTTCCCTTGGAGATAAGTGCACTATCTGGTGAGTAAAGTGTTTGTGTTAAAAAGTTAGAAGTGTCTTCAGCAACCAATATACCCCCCCCCCTTTTATCTCAGTATATAAGGACATTAACGCAAAAATGGAATTATGGAAGAGCAAAGAATAATTAACTTTAGATTTGAATAAAGACCCAGGTTGGAATCCTAGTTCAAATTAATGTTACATAAGTGTGCCTCAGATTCACCTGTAAAAGCAGAGATAACACCTACTGTGCAGGATGGCTAAACAATGACATGTGACTATGAAATGAGGTGACATATGGGGACATTCTTGGTCCATATGGGCTTTACTGAAGCTATTTTCTCTATATAACCTCTGGGATAGGCACAGATACTAGAGAAAACTATTGAAGGAAAGGTTGATTGAGGGGAAGAAAAAGAAAGAAAAGGTTGAATGATCAGTTAGTTCTTGACTTGACTTCTGTGATTCCAAATTGGTTCTGTTGGTCCAGGTACTAGGACTAAGAACGTTTCTTTTCCATCTATACAGTTCTCTAGCTCTAGTTGTTCCATGCATTTCCAGTTTTCTAGCCAGAAAGGAAAGGAGGAAGAAAGAAAAGAAGGAAAGAGGAAGGAGAGAGAAAAGGAAGGAAGGAAGGAACATTTATTTATTTCCTGTAAGTAGTGGCCACACAGTTGGAGAAACAGGAAATTAACAAAATGAATAAAATATAAATATTGTTGGCTTGAGCATCTGCAACAAATTGCAAGCCTCTGCCATGGCAAGAGGTCCCCTGTCACTGCTTGAGCTCGTTCATCCACTTCTTGTCCTCTCCCGTACTTACTTTGTTTCTCATCCTCTTCTCGATAATGACAGTAGAAGCAAAATTATCATCTAGCAAAGAATGTGGCAATATGTGTGCAAAGCCGATTTTGGAAAATCAAATAAGTAAGACATAAAATAAAAAATAAAAATAAAAAAATACATCCCAAACAGGTCTTTTTATTTAACATAAGGCCAAAGAAGCTATCAGGCGTTGCTGAATACTGTCCACTAACTGTACAAAATATTGACTGCATGCCTCGCAAACACCAACATATCTGCTGGAATGCCATGGAAATAAATAACTTCTGCTATAAACACATGAAAACATATCAAACCGTTATCTCTTTAAACATATTGTAAATAAAAAAATTACCAGTACTTCTACACAATAAATATTAAGGAACCATTGACATAGTTGAAATGCACTCATATAAATTAACAACTTTAATTACATTAGCCAAACGGACATTGGTTAGAGAACTGCACGAAGTATATAATAAAAAACAGAAAACAAAACAAGAAACCAAAATAAAAATAAAAACAAACAACATCAACCACAGAACATAAAAAGTTTTAAAACAGGCTTCAGATTATCTTGGCTTTCATAATTATATTTTTCTTTTAAAGAAAAATATCAACCCATTGTCAATGCACTGTTTTCAAAGCATTTAAATAGAGGGTAAGACCCATTGGAAATTAATACAGAAGAAATGATTCACTCTATGCATAAAAAATAAATAACATAGCTGAGACATGTGGTTTGCTTCTGCTCTTGAAGATGTGAACAGCTTCTAAGCATTCATTTTCTCTGACCCATACAACAGCTTCTCAGCGATACAGGGTTCAATTTAAACACATACAATGTCCACGCCCAAACCTGCTGCCTACATCTACAACTTTCAATTATTATGCTGGTTTTCAGGGTGACTAAGTTTTTCTCTACATTGAGAAGTGAAGTTGCCAAAAGGCCCACAGGAAATCATTTTTTCAAGTGGACATGATAGTTTGAATTTATGCTTAATACAACTGAGGCATATTTGTTCTCTGTTTTAGAGTCACCTCTTGAAGTCCAAACCCAGAAGGGTGAAAATAGTTTACTTGCTCTAACTTTGAGGAGAATGCAGGGACTCTCCTTGAAAATGGAGTGTGGAATCAATCTTAAATAAATATGAAATCAGCTGGTCTTCTGGGACAAGAAAAATCCCAACTCAATGTGCTAGAATTTGGCTTTTTTTTTTTTTTGGAAAAAAAAAATTTCAATTTTATCTATAAAATTTTTATTATTCTTAGAAGATATTGGAGGGCAAATGCTTCTCAGAGCATCTAAAATTGGTGTGGGCAGATTTTTAAGAGCCTAGAGATCAGTCCTAGAGAAAGAGTGGGGCACGGTAAGATCAGACAGAGCCACCCGTGTTTCAGGAAAACGTACTATGAAGACCCGATATGGTAGAATCCAAAAACTTTTTCTTTTGGCCTCCTGCTGCTACATGAAAGAGTGGCTGTTCACAGGTTTTGTATCTTCCAAGATTATTAAAGATGGTAGCAATTTATAATTCTATTTCAAGGCCATATAAATTTAATGAAACAAGATTAAAGTTTGTGAGTGTGTGATAACCCAATCATTTAATATCCAATTAAAATATCATCATATAGAATTTCATTTCATTTTGCTTCTAATCACTGTGGCCACTAATCAAAGTCCATATTACCCCTACATGTGTAGGACTTAACGGGCTTAAAAAGATGGCAGAGGTATTTGAGATGAATGGGAACTGTACTCAGTTATCAGCTGTCTTTGTAAATTCCTGCTCTTTCCATGGCCTTGACAATCTCTGCTACTGCACAGTGAACTAGGATTTATTTTCCCACACTTTTTCCACAGAGGTTCCAGTACAAGTTCCAGAACCAAAGAAGAAGCAGTTCACAACTTCCTCCAAGTTTTTCATAAAAATTTGTAAAGCTGAACATGGTGATCTGTTCCTCTCCTTAAAACTTGCCTCACCACACCCACCTTCCCACATGCCTGACATCCAAGGTCACAGGCCCTGATTAGAATCCAATCTAAGCTCCTTGTGTATAGTCTATGCTCTGTTTCCTGCCTAAGGAAGGGTGAGCTGTTGAGCACAGTAAGTATATTTGCCCCGTAAACGAGATTAAGGTAATCTGCCTACATACAGTCTGGTGTTACAGTTTACGGATTTAGTATATTTTTTGAGCTCAACCACATTTTGGAATGTTTGGTTTGTCACTGTACTTTAGTTTCCTACAATTAATTTTTTTTAATCTATGAATTGACACAGGGCTAAAAGCTTTAATATTTTACAAAATACTAACGAATATGATTTTTCACAATTATTAGAAATGTTTTTCAATTTCTTAATATTTTTGCCGATGTCAAATGAGTCATAAAAATAAGGCTCTGTATTTTAAAAGCACAGAAATGAATAACTTATCAGCTGTTCTAGGCAAGCTAAATACTGAAATAAATGCGATAGAAACTTAGCTTTAAGCATGGACTTTGATATTTATAAAACAAAGGTTTTTTTTTTTCTTTTTGCATCTGAATCAATACATACAAACTTATATTTCAAGAGTTTTAGCTGTGAAATAAAATACTAGGGACTCACTACCACCTTCACCCCGCCTCCTGTTAGCTGTTATCTTCCTTGCTACCACCCTCTGAACATCTTCCCCCCAATTATTTATCTTTTAACTAGTGACAGCAACATTCTTTAACACAGCTGTTGCAGATAATATTTCTCACAACCAGGACTTAATCATTAAAAAAAAATTTTTTTAAAAGCACTCAGCTCTTTTATTCTGGCCTAAAGTTTAAATTTTTTTCTCTGAAAAAGCTTCTGATTTAAGATTGATTCCAATAGATAATAAATAGAAGTTGTAAAACACATCAGCCCAGAATTTTGATTAACATCCTGTTCCCCCTGCATTTATGTGCCTATGTCGGGGGGAGGGGGAGGGGTGGACAAGAAAGAGGTGAGAATTTGATCCCTGTACGTTTAAAGAGGGCCTTGCTGAATATTCACTGGAATTTCCAGGCTTTTTTCCATCCAAATTTTTGAAATGTGCCCACCTAGTTCAGAGTAAAAGCAAAAAAGTATAGTCTATCCTTCTTAAAAATACTGTGTTTTGCACACAAACATTCATTGCCTTAAGAACATTAAAAAATGACAGCCTGAAGTGCTTAACATGTGTATGGACATGATACAATACATGTATATATACACACAGACATGCTTATGCACAAGCGATGTATATATACACATACAAGCTTGTCGTTGCATGAATTTGATGGAACTTGAGATCCAACAGTGTACAACTACTGTACATCCAGTATGAAATGTCCTGCTTCGTGGATGTAAAAGGGATTAAAAACCAAACTACTCAGGTCTTTTAAGCCTGAACAAAATCCACCCAACTCAACCTTGAATCCCAACCCCTGACTCACTGATTGAGTGATACCGACCACAGACAGACTGTTTAAAGGCTCACACAAATGTCTTTGGTGTATGTATCTATTTTTTAAGGTACAAAATAATAATAATAATTATAATTATAATAATAAAAATAGCTATTTTGTGTGCTGTAGCAGTTCTTTTATAGCTCACATTAAGTGCAGCTCTTAAACCCTACCCCCACCCCCACCCAAAGAAAATACTTGTTAAATAAGGATTAGACAGGTCAAACACCATTGTAGTGCAAATAGTAAACGATTAAAAAAAAAAAAAAAACATTTACAAAATATAGAAATGTTTGGATCCAACACATGGACAAACATATTCCTTTCAAGTATCTCTCCTTGAAGAAAATAAAAATTAATCAGGTTACTTCCAATACAAAAAAGTCTCTTTTTGTTCTCTCTCAGGTAAACAGTTTCAAACCTATTAGGTTGCATAGTTCTAAGATCATAAGCACCTTAACGAAATGTAACTTGGTATTCTTTTTTCCTTGATCTTTCACTCTTCCCAATCTTGCTCTCAATTTTTTTTATGTTGGGTTTTTCTCTTGTTTTGTCTTGTTGCAAAAGTGGTGCAGAAAAAGAAAGTGTGACCACCTGCACACTACTGTTCTTTTACCAGTATGTGTGTGCACGGGGTGTGTGGAAATGCCTCTGTGCGTGTGTGTGTGCTGATGGACACAGAGCTGGTGTCACACGGACATACTTTACGACCTGGGTAACTGGGTGGGAAGTGCCTGTAACTGGCCCTGTCAGACTCCCGGCTTTCTGGATGCTACTGGGGTTGTGCTAGCCCACATCACTGCAGACCAGACCAGTCGAGGCTCACGAGGGACCCGCGGGGGACGGGTCTGCACAACCGGTGGAGGGCGCCCCCCTCCCCCTCCCCTCCCGTTCCTGTCTCCTGCCCTGATTCCTCTCCAAGCCTGGCTAAGGGTTTTTTCCACATCTTCCTTCATCTGTTTCATTCATAAGGTTTTGTTTTTAGTTTAGGTGTGTTTTGTTTTGTTTTGTTTTTGATTTCTATTTTTCTGGTTATTTCACTCAGAAACCTTAACAATCTCTTCATCCTGCCACTGTCTTCTCTGGACAACTCTAGCTCCCTGTCCCCCCGGCACGGGCAGCTCTACGAGCAGCCACACTCCTCCACGATCATGTTCTGAATGTCCTTTTTGATGATGTTCTGACTGTCATCGTAGTACAGCATGGACATGGGTCTCAGCTTGGTGGGCACACAGCACGATTTGAGGTTGGCGAAGGGGCTGTGACCCCGCATGCGGTAGTGGTTGATGACCGTCGAGTGGAAGGACAGTGAGGACCCGGACGTGCCCGCTATGTGGCTCGGGCACTCCCCCTCGCAGTAGTTGGCATGGTAGCCAGAGGGAGCGATGATCCAGTCATTCCAGCCGATGTCCTTGAAGCTAACGAAGAAGTGTTTCTTGCAGCAGATGTTGACCTTGCCGTCGCACTCCAGGCCCCGCCGGCGCCGGCGGTGAGGGTGGTCCTCAGCCTGTCGCGCCTGCAGCATGAGGAAAGGCCTGTGCGACTGCTCCTTCTCCTCGTCTCCTGCCACCCCTCCGTCGCCTCCATCCTTCTTCTTCCCGTCCCCCTCCTCCTCCTTCTTCTTCCTCTTGCCCAGGAGCACCAGGCTGGCCCCACTCTCAGGGCACTGCTCACAGGCAATCCGGACGTCCAGGGAGCTCCTGCCCTGGTCCAGCAACCGCTGGATGCTGCTGGAGACGGGGAAGACGTGCCACGTGCTCTTCCGGGCGTCCACCACCTTTTCAGACAGCAGCAGTTCACTCCTCTCCCCCTTCAGGCCCACCTCCTCCGCCTCCTCCCCAGCGTCCAAGCTGCCCTGGGGGTGCTTCTGCTGCTGGTAGAGGCGGATGGTGACTTTGGTCCTGGTCCTGTTAGTCTTGGGCACTTTTAGGAAGAGCCAGATTTCGGCGCGCTCCACCACCGACAGGTCACTGCCTTCCTTGGAAATTTCAAAGTGCAACGTCTTCCTGGCTGTGCCTGAACACAAAACACAGCACAAGAGAAAACAGGGATGCTTGTTACTTGAGAGTTTGCATCTACCCAGGAATTTCAGGAGAGCCCGAGTCTTCTGTTATAGACCATCTCTAACAGGGGCCAGCAAATCTCTTTCTGCATGGCCCGCAAGCTAACAAAGGTGGTTACATTTTTAAATGATTGAAAAAAACCCAATATTTTGTGATATGTAAGAATCACATGAAACTTAAACTTCAGTGCCTGTAAATGAAGTTCTGCTGGACACAGCCACCCTCTATTCCTCATATGTTGCCAGGCTGCTTTTGCACAGTAACAGGGAGTGAGTAGATGTGACAGAGACTGTCTGGCTTCAAAGCCTGAAATATTTGTTCTCCGGCCCTTTATAGAAAACAGTCTGTGGGCCCTTGCTGTGGGATGAAGAGGGCCTGGGATGCTTAATCTCAGTTTCATCTTCTATAAAACAGGAGGGACATAATGACATTTGACCCATTACCTTACAGGTTTGCAAAGACCAAATGGGTTAACAAAAGGGAAAACACACCGTAAACTCTAGTAAGCTATGGAAATTTTGCCTCACACAAAAAGGTCCCACCCCGCCGTGTAGTTCTGTGTGGCGGGGACTCAGGCAGCCAGCCCTGGCCACAGCCCGGCTCGGCCATAGCCCGCTTCACTGCCCATTATTTTCCCGGGGCACTGTAGAGCCTGTTCTTGACTTCTCTGCAGCACTGAGTCAGGCTCTCTCCGATAATTTCTCCATTCAGCAGCTAAAGGACTCTTTCCCGGGGGTGGGTCTGATCACACCACTCCCTCTTGAAAGTCCTTTACTGACTTCCTTTTGCTCTCAGTACCCAAAAGATACTGTCCAGGACTTCGGGTTCTGCATAACCCGCTCCTGCCTTCTGAGGTCCAGCTACACGGTGTTTCCCTGAGGTCCTGACACCCCCATGTTCTCTCTTCGCTGCAGGCAGTGATGCCTGCTTCTCCTTCTGCCCCGTCCCCACATGCCACCATTAGTGGCTGACTGCAACAGTGTTTCAGTTTTCAGATTCCTCTAGAAGCCTTCCCTCACACCTCCTCCACCTCTACCTCCTCCCAGTCCAGTTTAGCCTGAGATCTGAGGTCACTGTCACAGTCTAGTGTTTAGCAGAAAGTAGACAATTACTTGATAACTTATTAACAGATGGAGGTGTCTTCAGCACAGAGTTATATTACATTCAGAGAGTCACCTTCTATCCCTGAACCCCCGTTTTGGCTTCCGTCCCTTTAGAGTGCATCTCAATGAGCACCTGAAGCATATTTCAAATAGCAACAGCTAGTGACAGAGAGGAAATCCCTGCACTGTCAGGGCAGCCAGATTCAGCAACCACTCAGATCTAGCCCAACTGTAAAGTTAGAAAATCATGTATTTCCTTCTCTTTTCATAAGCACCTGTATGTTTACTCATGCCACAACATTAACTGTAAGAAGCAGGTGTCCAGACTACCAAATATTTTCCCTCAATTCCATGTTTACCACTTGGTGGACATAGAAACATGTCCTCACTCACATGACTGTGTACCTACTTACAACTGTCCGCTGTCTGTATCCCATGTACAAATCTGGGAACAATCTTCAAGAAGTTCAACTTAGAACTCGCAACTCCCTGGGAGGATCTCCCTGCCTGGATTTCTATAGCTAGCGGAAATCCAGCCATACTTATCACTCGAGGCCCTGAGATGTTTACGGTACTATAAATTTTAGGCACAGTGTCGAGTTCTCTGCAGCAGAAGGCAAGCTTTTCTGCGCGTTGTGCACTGTAGATTCTGTTCTTAATTTAACACAGTCTGCACACTGTGATTATGATAGTGGTAAATTCAGTCGGGCAAGGGCCAAGTGGGGCTGCATATGGCTCTGAGAGGTTCTCTGGCATCTTTGTATGAACTTGCTAGGATGCTGGCCATAAGAGCGGTGGTGGGAAGGAGGGTTCCTTTGCCTCCGACCTCATGTCTCTGGCAGGAGTGGGAATGAACCATAAAGCTGAGTTTATGACTAGACAGAACACCAAAGCAGGGAGCAGTCGGAGGGGAAGCTGTCTTATTTTAGGAAGCACGGTGACTTTTCTTTCAAAATGTGAATCCTGTATTCCCCTTTGCTAGGAATTGGAGGGGTTTTTTGCTGTTTGTTTTTTAAGAAAGTGAAAGAGAAGCTTCCAGGAAGCAGAGCTTAATCAATTCAATGTAAAAAGACAATCACAAGTGGATTTTTGAGGTGATAGGGCCCTGCCAAGACCCGAGGAAAAGGCTGCGTAGACCTACAGAGCATCTGCTAGGAGCCTGAGGAGTGTGCGGGCGCCCTCCCAGCACGGGCACCCCGCCCTGCCCGGAGGGTGCAACAAACTTCCTGCTGTCTTCCCTTCTGCCTCCATGCAGGACAGCTTCTGAACTCCCGAGCAGCACAGGGTGTCACTTGGAAGACAGAGAGATAGTAGCCACTAAATCAGAGAAGCCAGAGGGCACAGGGTTGTGTTTTGCTCTTCTAGGAAGAAGTGTGAAATGGCAGCAGCTGACCAGTGCCCCAGTGGGAGGCTCCCTGGCTTTCCTGCTCCATCCTTGCCTGCCAGGAGGGGAGAGGGTGGAGGGAGCTGGATGGCAGTGTCAGCCTGCACGCAGTGGACTGTCCACGTGTGAGGTCCAGAGATACCCTCAGACTGAACGAACTATGGCACATGCAAAGAACTAATGTGGGGCCAGCGGGCCCAGGCCAGTTGCTTCAAGCCCCACAGCCTGCAGGACAAGAGCAGGTTTCTAAAGTAACCATGTAGCCCCTCCCCTTCTTTACAGGCGGCTGTACTTGGAAGCAAATCATTTAGTGTTCCTGAGAGAGGGCTGTACAAAGAGAGTACTCATTACAGGGGGCCCAATCTGTCAGGTGCTGTTATATTAGGATCAGAGAGTCATCATAAAATGACTTTCGTGCTGGTCTTGGCTGATAATTAACTGTATAGCATCTCCTGCGTACTGTGGGGAGGCACGGTGCTGATTTATGCATCAGTGTAATTATCTGAACTGAAAGACTGTTCCCTGTCTTTGCATCCACTGCCTGCGTGCTTTCTCTCTCCCCCATATTTCTGACATTTGGATTTTCCCCCTACTAACTGACATGCCTGTAGCCTCCTTCTCCTGGTGTCCATTTCTGGAACTGCTATTTGTATACTGCATGATATTTTATCAGGAAAAAAAAAATAAAACTGAGATCCAATTTCATGAAAATGCTGTTGCCATAATGCTCAGGAGAACAGAGAGAGATTCAAGTCTTCCTATTGTCTACCTTATATGCAGGTACATTTTACAAGTTCTATTGTATTCTGACTTATTAAGCAGTGCATATTTTTTCTTTTACATTAGCTTTCATTGCAGAAGGGGGTGGGGAGCATGAGACAGCTGGAAGCTGACATGGAATTAATGCTTATCAGGACTGCAGGTTTCAGAAATATATTACAATCCTTGAATTTCCTAGGTATGAAAAATATAATAAATAAGTAGTCAATTAATTATATTTCCTTTATCTCTATGTTACTCAAGAGAGACTGCTGTACTGCGGTGACACTTTCAGGATGCCTCAATCTTCAAATCTCTCTGCATAACAAATTAAAAAACGGAAGGTTGCCTAAGGCTGAGATGTTTAGGATCAATTTTTAATCGGTTTCAGGTTTCACTTAAATATCTTGTGCTGTGAAATCCTGAAGTGGAAGCCTTCCCATAATGCTCCGTGAGAGGTACAGCATTAGCTTGTACAGGTGCACACTGGGTTCCTACACTATTACCTAGCTAACCAGAGATAGCTGCTTTGCTAACCTTTCATTACCTACTTTCTGGTAATATTCTTTTTATACTCTGCTATTTTTTCCCTCCCGGGGCTTGTGAGCAAGGCTTGTATCACAGCCTGCTCTGCCTGAGTAATTCACTGAGAAAGTCCCACGCAAACCCATGTGGGTGATAATATTTCATCACTTAAACCTCTACGAGCCTGGTGGACACATACCAAAGGAAGAGAAAAAGGTGCAGAAATATGGCTAGGGATAAATTTTGTATCTCCCAGGGAGTACCTTTGAGATGTTGCTGGGTGGGAGGGATTGGACAGAGGAAAGACTGTGTAAGCAGGAAATAAAGACACCCGAAAGGGTGTTGGTAGCACATTTTCCTTTGCTTTCGGAATCGTTCAAGTGTTTTTAATAACTCAGTCATGAAGGCATGCCAAGGGTTAAGCAGCCAAGCCCTTGCTGTCCTCTTCCCCACACTAGGGTGCAAAATGCTACTCATCAGGCAGCCCAGCATCTCAGATCTGCAGGGAGCTTTTCCAATCAAATAAGCAACACGCACATGCAGTGTTTCGGTGGTTTTGTTTTGTTATCTTCACCAGGGTCCTGCTTAAAGCATGCTGCTCTTTTATAAATGGCTAATAATGATGTCTCTAATGTTAATGTGGAGAGCCTTGTTTATAGAGCATATTTAAACTCACCATGGGGGGAGGGGGGAAAGCCTCGCTATAAAAGGCGTCTGTTACTTTAATTTTCCAGGCTTCCTCAAGGTTTCACTGTGCCTAGATATGGTATAGTCAATGGTAGGGGTATACACAACTGCCATTTACAGCGTGTGTGTTCTCTGAAGCACTAACCGTGCACTTGGACAGCCTCCAGGGGCTTCTGCAGAAGGCAGCCAGTGAGGTCTTAAGAGGTGATTCCTCCTTTGACCTACAGTAGAGGATCTTGTCTGTAGAAAAACTATAGGTTTGGTCATAAATTATCTTCTTGAATTTTTTAGCCTTAATATCTCTCCTTAGTTTCTATTATTGAATTGTAAATGCACAGCCACAAACATCCATCATCCATGCCTCTTCCATTTAAATGGTGATGAAAAAGAGGGTTAAATATTTAGGGAGAAAGGGGTTTTAGGTTCTTCAAAGAAGTAGGAAAAAAAAATCATAAGGTTCAATCTACAGAATTTCAGAGACTTCTTCCAAAGTTC